TAGCCACGAGCCTGATACATTCAGGCAGTGAAAGATATAATGTACTTCTATCTCACTAGATTATATAGCCACAAGCCTGATACATTCAGTCAGTGAAAGTTGTAATGTACTTCTATCTCACTAGATTATTTAGCCACGAGCCTGATACATTCAGGCAGTGAAAGAGAGATATAATGAACCTCTATCTCACTAGATTCAGGCAATAGCACATAAGCAAGACGTGCGAGGTAGAGAGATACAATGTACTCCCATCTCACTTGATTATGTAGTCACAAATACCATGTGTACACTGAATACAATAAAGCAGACAAATTAAATGACGGCGGACACGTGTTCATATAAGTTGGGTATACCAGTGTGATAAACTCATACACATTTCAGGGACAGTTTAATAACTGTTGATTGCCAATATAAGTTACAAACTCAAGCGGACTACGTACCACTCTATAGCAAACACACATTGGCTGGTAATGATAAGAAAGTCTCTTTTTGGTATGATATTATTCAGATATAATATATTCCTATATATGACTAGAAAAGTGCAGAGATTTGTTTGAAGTAGTAAAGAATAGACATCACCAAGCGTAAGCATGTGTAACTATTAAAGTAAGCAGAATCCACGAGTGCACAAAAACTGGTAAATGTAAAGCTAGACTGTAACGCACATCTACTACAAAGGAATGAAGCGAAACAATGACGACATTAATTGGGTACGTACATGTTGTTATAATGTTAGCAGATATTTGGTAGGGAGTAATGTATAAAATGTTTACCTATAGACCTGGATACAGATTTTAAATGGCATGAGAAAAGTGCAGACTTATGCAACGTTTATTATAAAGCGGTTCTCAATACCTTGTCAATAAATTTACGTTTGTTTAAGTAAGATTCGTTTTCACTCCCATATGTCTCGTAAACTGATGCTAGACTGTAATGATAACAATAGAGAAAGCGATAATTTTTTTTCTGACACATAAAACGAATGTCTTAGTGACCAACGCGATTTCAAGGTATGTGATATTATTTGGTCTTATCTTGCTATCTGCTGCAAATTATCGTAACGCTAGTGTTTCGTATTTGTTCTGTTGGCATTATATAGCCATGTATTATAAATAACATACGTATTTCCAGTATCTACATTTCCCCTTATTTTGTTCTTACTTCCTCTCCCACCCTCTCACTTTATCACTCTAATGTAGGGTGACTCTGATTGTCCCTAGTCTCGATTTCCCGTTAGGTTTCCTGTCTGCTAATGGAATAGAAAAATAAAATAAAAAAGACAATCAGCTTCCATTGTTTTTCTTATGACTACTTATGCAATTAAACACAATCCTTGTTATCTCTGGTAAGTCGAACTGGATATAACAGAAATGAAGTCATGGTATGCAACCACAATCATATGAGCCATACTCCTACAATACAATATCGATATATGTATAGTCTGATACAAACAAGACTGACAAGGTTTTCTGGAAAATACATGTAGTACGTATTTGTGTTAACATACAAGGAAACATGCGAAAGTCCGTAATACCAGATGGAAATCATAGGTGATGGACAAAACCTTACCCAAACACAAAACTATGGAAAAGATTAAATATATGATGTTGAGAAGGCATACAACAAAAACAGTCGGGATACAAAAATTATCATCGGAACAAAAGCAGGCGCCAAATCGGACGTATGTGGATGATAAGTAGGCCATCTTTGTGTCTATTGTTAACTCAAGTTAACGCCCGGGACAGTAATTCATTACACGTAGGCAAATGTGTTATAGAAGTACCGTCATGTATGGCAGTATTACAGTCTGGTGCTGATATTACATACTGATATAATCCAAGTCCATTGTTAGCTTTCTGGAGAAACATTCTCAGTCTAGATAGTTAAATCATTTATAGTCTACTGTCACGTGTTATCATTTCATAACAATACCGCTCTCTGTAAATTATCTTCAGATTGACATAATTCATTAGTAAGTTTATCAGTGTCATAGCTTTTTCATGTGTAATGATATTTAATTAGCTAACGGAAAACGAGATCCTTTTATCTCCTGGAGTGAGTTTATGGTCACTAATATGATTTTGGTTTGAGTACAAAACGAATTCAGACTGGTTTATGTTACATTTAAAACACCATTTAATATAATGTACCCGGGGTATTATATTCAAAAATATGAAATTTGATAGTACAAATTTCGTTAGAGCGATGTGAATAGAATGACTGAGAAATACTGTTTTCCATAATACTTCTCAAAATGTCACCTAGGATTTTGTTCCTATCTGGCATAACTGGGGGTAGGAATATATTATACCAATAGATTAAATAATTAGTTCTTTTGTTACTAAACGATATAAAGCATTTATTATAAATTGTTCTCAATTTCCATCGTTCGTAATTATCTACTTATAATCACACAGACCATGTCCATCGGCAAAAAAAATTGGTAATCAATTATTATGGATCGAAATGATAGTTTCTCGGTCACACAGCAATTTAACTTACAATAAGTAATGAGAAGGGGGATAACTCGCATAGAGAACTACGTATGAAGGAAGATATCCTAGTCCTATATATTACTGATTCCGTTTAGTGTCGTTTGTTTTGATGTTATATATTTAGTTTTGGTTTTTAATTATACTGGTCGCATAACAAACGAAAAGGTGTCATACGCATAGTAAATACAAATTAAGTTTGAAGAGGACCGTTACCAAATTCCAAACTGTCGGTTGGTATTATAGATAACAGCTAACTGATATGCTTTCTTGGATACATAGCCCAAATGATTCTGGCATTCTGTATATATTAATGTTGATATTGTACATTACCTTCAGTATATTAGCCACAAACTTTTAAAAAATTTGCTCCAACTCCTACCCTTAGTAATAAGTTGAATTAATTAGCCTTCTCGCTACAATAATTTTAGCTGAATAAAGGTTGAGTTGAAACACACGGACAAGCTAAATTTAATGCATTATTCAAAATTAAAAAATGAGAAACATTTAGCATCTTCTGTAATAAATAGACAAAGTGTTCCATGGGACTATATCTACATGCTTTGACTTATGTTACTATAACAACATAGGTAATTAATTTGATCAGGATCTTGGTTGCTGTATTAATTTCAATTTTGGAATTAGACAAAGAATATAACGGTAGTTTAAGGAAAGCAAACCGATACCTATATAAGTATTGCAGTTGTATGATACATTTCATAAATTGTTACAAGATATTATTCCAATATGTAATGTAATTAGTTACAATGTAACTCATTCTTGAAAATGTTTCATCCAATTTTAATTTCAGGAACTTGTTTGATCTATAACGGTACTTTTTCATTTCAGCTTATTGGATTTATACACAACTTTTTTTAATTCAATTCCATGCTGTTAATTGAAAAAGTAGGATCTTGATCTCATTATTAGAGTAAAGTGAGGTGAAGGAAATTGAAGCTTGTATCTGTGAAGATAGCCATATTCCCTTATAAATAAATTATACACAGATGTATACGTTTTACTTTCAAAAACATGTTTCATATATGAAAAACGTTGATTTACTGCAATAAAAATAATACATAAATTTAATAGCATATACTAAAAATACACATACTGATTATTATTCAGTTAAATAAGAGACATTTTGCTGACAAAATTGAATTGAATATTTCTATTCTCATTAGAAATGTCTGCCATTAACAACAGTTTATATGCCATACTACTTTGGTACTCTGTCAATATGAACTGCAAAAAGAAAAGGTTTAGGAAATGGTTTTAAAGATTGATTGAAAACATAATTTTTAAATAACATTTTCTTCTGGAAATTAAAGCTTGTTACGAATAAGCAAAGCAAGAATTTTCATTTCTTAAAAAAATATTATTATATTACTATGATAAACAAGTGTTTAATATCACACTAAAATATTTATGGCCCTTGACGTATGTACTCATTTGATCAACAAATAATTAAACAAGAAAATGAAATAAATTACTAAAATCATTTGCACAATATGTATTTTTCAATACACATCTGGTACTGGTTTGTTTTATTTTGGAATAATTAGATAGAATAATAAAATAAAAACAATTGCAAATAGAATTACAGCTGAATTAAGATATTGAATATTAATATTTTATTCTTATGTGATATTTATTTTATGACATTTCCTCATCTTGTATTGACTTTGAAGGAGAGTTTTTAATATAGAAAATAGTCCGTCAATGTACATGTTTATTATTTAATGAAAATATTCATTAGATTAAGTGTCTTTTTGTTGCTCTGAACAAAGTAATGCTGTTTCAAAGTCATCATTATTGTCGACATCCGAACTACAAATCTTCCAAATAACAAATATATCTGGTCAAGTTCGTCATCGATGACCATATTGGACCAAAAACGTGGTTCGAGCATGCAACCTGAGTGCCGTTACGACCAAATAAACGAAAGCGCCCCTGCTTGCGCGAAAGCGCCGTTAGACTGCATTCGCGTCACCCGATTGAAACGGTTCAGGTGGTCTATTTTTATTCCGCTATACGCGAACGCACGTGTTTGACCTGATAAATATATAGTTGAAAATGGACAGTTTCAGAATTTCCTGTCAAGCATAAATCAATTAACTAAAATTAAGATACCACCCATTTCACCCATACTTTATAGCACAATGCTACCGAATATATTTGAGTTCATCGACTCTACTTTTTAAGCTAATTATTTCGAAAAAAAGTATTCAGCAAATTAGTTTCGGACAGGTACAACTGGACCCCTAAAAATGCACGTGCCAAATATTTCGCAGTCCAGCCTCGGCTCCGATCTGCGCCTGGCGTTTTTCTTGAAGGTTCAACCGATCCAATCGTTTCAACTGCTCACTCGAAAGCGCCCTAATGTACTCTTTCGATTTCTATTTATATTGAATCGAATGCGCCTTTCATGAAAAATCTCGATCTGGTAAACCCTTAATTTGAAAGTAAAATAAAAGAGCGCTACAGAAACGTTGATTTTAAAGAAGCATGGCTGCCCCACAGCAAGATGCAGATCGAAAACAGCAGTGCGACTGGCTTTATCCAGAATTAATGGCAAAAGAAGGTTTATTAGACATATTAAGACAGGTAAAACAGTTAAATCATAAGTTTTTTGCAAACTTTTGGTGTTTGATCAAAATCATTTTAATACATCCTGTCGATATCAATGAGTGGTGTTATGAACAATATGAAATGTGTAGACTGAACCAACTGCAAATTTTCCCACAATCTCCTGATGTCGTTAGAAATTATTTTCTTTAATTTTATCAGCCATCTCAAATACGTCACCTATCAAATGTTACAGCGGTATGTTAGCCATCCAGATATTGAGAGACTCGAGAAAGAAGAATTGGTTGAGCTGTACTATAAGTATGTAATCCCCCTGCCACAGAGGAAGTACAGAATGAATCGTAGAGGGCGTGAGATGACAAGAAAACAGATCTTGCTTGCCAAGAAAAGGAAAATAACAGCACCCGATGACACAGAGCCAGTCAAAAAGTGGGTTTAATTGTTTCAAACATGTAGTAATCTTGAAATTAGTACAATGATGAAATAGTCGTTAAAGAATTTGTTTATCATATATGTGTTTTCTCTTTTTTACATTGCATTGATTTCATTTCTAATTGCAGGAAACAATATGAAGACAGCACTGTTAATTCTCGGTTGATCTCATCATTTAATGATCCTTCAAAGGGCGAGAGACTAAAACCCCCTCCATCATGTATTGACTTTAATAAGAAAACCATCAAACTAGGATCTGGTCCAAAATCATCACCAACACAAGATAATGTTACTAAAGGGGAAAGTGATTCACAGTCCGAGTCACCAAAAAAGAAAATCAAGTTGATAACATTTTCTTCATCAGAAAAAACTTCAGCATTAAGTAACAAAGGAAAATCTCCAGCCATCTCTTCTCCTGTGACATCACCAACAAAGATGGATATCTCAGTGAACAAAACTAAAACAGTCTGTCTTATTAACAAACACCTGACATCTCCAGATCCTGGTATTAAAGACACACCAAAGACATCACCAGAGAAACTCTGTGCAAGCCCTGATCATGATGCCACAATAGCAAAAAGGGATGGAGACACAGAAAAAGTTTGTAATCTCTGTTTTTTATAAGCACTTTAAGTAGTATCCTTTGAAGCAGCAACAATTTCAATTAGCATGAGACATTGTACAATTACATATACATTGTAATATAATTGATGTAATTTATCAACTGGAAAATTATAATACACAGTAGACCATTTGGATGCAGATGCCTAATCTAAGGGTTAATAAATATTTGCACTCAGCAAAGTTAAAGTTGCTAATTATAATTATTTCATCATATGAAATTAAGAATAAATGCTCAGTTTATATAAATGACCTCTCTTCAGAAAATTATTCATTAAATTTGATATTGTCTGCAATTTTGGCAGAGTAAAAGTATTTATTCAATATGAGATACTCTTGTTCAGTCACAAGTGCAAATTTGACTATTTAGCAGTACATCTACATTTAATCATTACATTTTCTGATACAGAAATTTAGTTGAACACAGTATGTATCTTTCGAAATTATTCTTCAAAATATATATTATCTTTTCTTGAAGCTTAAGTGTTCTGTATTGTATAACAGATGTTTTAAAGCATTTATATTTCAAGTAAGTGTACTTTGTTGTCAGAATTGCTTATTCTATTTTCAGAAATCTGCTGTGACTTCTACTTCAAAGAAAAAGATCAAAATTGCTCGAATACCGTGGCCTTAGATATCATTCCCAAAACTGGAAAGTAACGCAATTTGATTGTGACACAATTAAAAAAATACATGTAGGTTTACATTGTAATGACGGTGAAACATGTTATCCTGAGCTATAATATAATACAGTCAGATATGCATTCATTGGTACTGTCATGTGATTTAAATCATCACACTGAAAGGCCCATTCATGCTATTATAATAGAACAATCAGGATGAAGTGTCTGAATCCAGATAATACTAAATATAGAACAGTCTTCAGGTGATGGGAGTTTTACTTCAGATGTGCTTTGCCATTTTGAGTCAAATTTTGTTATAGTAAAACTGAAAGTTTTATATCTTGGTGCTTTGATTTTAATTGATGTTTTTGAATAATAAATTGAGAATTTTTAACTTATAGAACATGAAAAGCTAGGTTTGTTATTTGTATAACTCATTGACAAATCAATACTTTATGATACAGAGTTTTGAAACACAGTGGACATTATGTTATATATGATCTCATTATGTTGTTGTAATTGTATGAAAGAGGTACATGAAGTACTTGTATTGTCATCAAAGTACTTCTGGTGTTTAGAAAAAACTGGTGCTGTATGAATGTAAACAATTTTTCATATCTACTTCAAGTTGACAAGATTAAAATGATGACAGAAGCAAAAGGCAATCATTCTTCAGAAATTGTTTAATCAAAATGTAGCTGCACAACTGTTGTCATCAGGAGCTAGGTACATCCATCATCAAAGGGTTTCAACTGCTAGTCCAATAATCTCTGTGGATGGTGGGCCAGCAGGGATGATGGGTCCCTACTCTCCAATGGTTGACTTACCTGATTGTATTCGTATCCATCATGATGCCTGTTCTGCTTCATTCTCCCAGTCTCTGCCTTCTTCGTTGTTCCTTCCTGTAATGGTGAGGGTTCTGAACATTTTTCAGCATGATTTGGCAGTGAATCCTCCTCAGAAAGCCAGAGGAAAGTTTCATGCCTATGAGCCTTTCCTGTGACACTCCTCTTGTCAGCTCTGCACTCTTACCTGTCTTCCGTTCGGGCACTGAGTCACACCCCATTTCCCAGGGCAGTTAATTCCACCATCACCAGTTTTTTCTTGCTGGATGATAACACTTATAAAAGACCATAATGTCATGGATAAGTTTGAATTTGAGAAATAACGGTATATCCTTATTTCGAAATCTTATTTTATTCACTGCATTAATTGAGTGATCAGCCAACACCAGGGTAAGGGATATAAGATAAAACAAGGCGCCTAGCAGCCGTGATGGTCACCTGAGATAAGCGCAACATTTAATATGAAGATTAAAGGGAAAGTAGCTTTCAAGTGTCATGAAAATAAATTGTGACATTGATGATAGTAAGCCAGTGTCAATACATACATGCCCTCAAAACTGTCATCCTATACTAATAAATCTTACACAGTGACTTTCCATTGGGAAATCAACATTATGCTCAAAAATGCAATTTTTCAATAAAAATTACAGTAACGTTAACCTGCCCTCCAGAAAGTAATGTGAGAGTCAATTTGGTAATTGAAGCATCTCAAGATGGGTCCAAACAAGATCTTATGATTAGACCATACCTGTATGTTGAAAAGAAGATTTTTGAAATTTAAGTCAATTTGACCCCTTTTACCCCCGCTCATCAGCCCCTGGGGGTCAACTAGGATCGATATGTGCAGACCACCAAGCTGTCATCTTGTTTATTATTCTACGTTGGAAATATTTCCAATGATAAACAAATTATACTCAAAAAATCTATTTTTCCTGTATAAACCTGGTGCCATGAAATTCACAATTTTGGTAAACCACCTTAAGACACTTCCATCCATGAAGAGCATTTGATTCTACCATATCTGAGTGTTGTGAATTTTTTTGAAATTTGAATAAATTTGGTCTTGCCCCTCAGGAACCAATGGGGTGGAACTCGTATAATTCTCTGTTTTATTTCATCTTCGGCCAGGAAAGTTTTCTGCAAAATTTCATTGAAAGTGGTTCAAGAGATTTTGAGACGAAGTCAAAAATGTTTAATTATTTATTGGCACACGACTCCGGATGAAGGTGATCGCAATAGGTCACCATGAGAATTTGTCTCAGGTGACCAAAGAAACGAATGTTCCATTCCATGTTGGTAACTGTTCTGAACGGCAGTAGACATGAAGTTTGGTTGGTTCACATATTACAAGATATAACAATGTTGAATAAATGTGATGTAAAAAGGTACAAAAGTTAGTCTGAATTAGTGTCAGTAGATCTTGACATTATTCCTGTATCTGAATGACAGCTGGAGCGGTTTTAAATGGAAAGAAATGTTTAAAGACAACTTTCAATATTTTATACATTCATTTATTTGGAAACATAAGAAAATATTGCTTTTTCATAATGTAGGTCAAAAATTCCGAAATTGTGAATTTAATCAATACATTTATTGCATCCTAATATTTAGTTGGATATGATACAGCTAAGTCTCATAAATGTACAATGTTAAGAAATAGATACATAAATTGCATATGATATGTCATACATGCAAATACAAAATCATATTGGGAATATGTGACAAATGATAAATACAAATGAATGATCTGTCGTACATACAAATAAATGGAATGTTGATGTATGTCCTCTTGTATTAAAACTAAACAAGAGTATCAGTGAACCTGATGACTGCTCCTCGAAAGTGATTTATGGGACACAAAATTTTAATAAAGAGCAACAATTATAAAATTAAGGGGTTGTGGGTCCTAACGTTGGTAGAATGACCAATGTGTACACCAAGTTTCGTGATCCTTGCTGAACTTTGGGCGAAGTTAAGCTTCCAGCGTGAAAAAACAAAAGGACATAGTACCAACTAATGCTCCCCACCCCAACAAAATTTCTTTAAAATGTTTCTTGTATGAGGGTGAAATTTAAAGCAAGAGTACTTCCACATCTTGAACAAGCACTGTTATGATGTTGCTTAGGAAGTAATTTTGGTGGAGAAATCTACATAGGGAAATCAATGGGCCATTAGAGATTACATGTTTCCGAATTATATATAATACAGTACTTTTTTCCCCCTTTCTAGCACTTTTAACCACTTCAGATTGTATGGTCTAAGCCAAAATTGTGCTCAGAGCAGATAAACCAACAGGATTCAATCAAATTCCATATTGTTTGACTGAATTTTTAGGTCAATAGGTTTCCTAGGTTAATAAAACCAAATATTGGCCCCATCAAAAGGCTATAGTTGTATAACAATATTGGTGGTGGGTGCTGCCAATCATTGATTCTGAATTGTTATGGTCTTCCAGCATGGTAATTCAGCAGAGATGATAAAGAAGTATTACAACGAAATATCAATATTGTATACAGTTCAACTTTTATGGCCTTTCAACTCATTTTTCGCTCAATACTTCAGTATTTTAGGGAGAATTTAGCAATGGGAGAAAATGTAGTTTTATGCAATGGTGGAAAAAAAACGGAGATGAATTTTTGCAGTTATATAGTGTACTTATTGTTAAAAAAAACAACAGTAAAATGCACCTCACTTCATGTTATACATATTCAATTTTAATACTGTAATAATTTATTATGAAGTAAAAAGGAATCTATGCATATAATTGATTGTATACATGATTACAATAATAAAGATTATATTTCAATACAAAAATGCTGGGTTATTTGAAATACGTTTTATATTGAGGATACAAACTGTTTTATAGCGATGACACTACAAAACTTTGACATGTACTGGGACTCCATTTGCTTGGTTACCTTGTCCCTACAGGTCACGCCACCTACAGTTATCACACGAGGATCCTTGTACGGTTTACCCTATATACTGTACATAAGTTATAACCACTTTGTCTGAACACATGTTTGTATGTCATATTTTTTTCACAGAATACTGGTAACAGTACAAGTCAATATATTTTTCAATTCAATTTTGTGACAGTTAAAACCAACTAGTATCAAGTATATTTATCACCAACACAATACTGATTTTGTACTGTAGATCCAGCAGAGCTATTTCCGTACTCTATATACCAAGGAATCCCAAATAAATTACAGTTACCGATGATTTGGCTCCTACCTCTGTCATACCTTTTGTTAATCCTGTATTTAAAGGTTTATTTATAGGTGATGCCCTAAAGTAAACAGAAGTCCTTGGCTAGGACAGACTTAAATAGCTCTGACACTAAATTTTATCAAACTTCAAAAATCATGTGAGAACATTCATCTTCACCTAGGTATATAGATTATCAATTTTTTATCCATTGCTCACAAAAATATATACAGCGATAAAAAATATTCATCATTAAGACACATTAGACATAAAGAATTGATTAAAAGTTACAGATCTACACATACAGTGACAGTAAAATCTTTTCTCCAATGTCCAGTGTCCGCCTATCATTTGGCAATTTATTGTATCTTACATAGGTTTATGTACACGGCAAATGCTTGCATATATAGTGAGGACAGAGGAATCTGTATAATATACCTAATCTATTTATGACTTGAAAATAAGAGAGATTTGAAAAAAATATATTGAAATAATTTTATTTACAAAAGTGGCAAGCAAGTATAGCTATGAATATGATGAGGAATGTGTTCTGAACGTGTGAATTATTATGCTCAGCAGTTGATCTGCAGTGCAGATCTGAGATTTTAAGAAACTGGTAATCAATGATCCAACAACTCTTTCAGGTATACAAGTACACATTTGGTTTTTTCTCATATTTTTTCTAAACTGGCATAATAAAGTACAACTTGAGATAATGAATCAACTACATATTGCATGATCCAGCAAACATCCAGCAGAAAATATTTTCTTTGTCCTATTTAAGGATACTGATCGATCAACAATGACAGAGAACACAGCTTTGTTCATTTTGCAGTGCAAGATATAAAGCAATAATAAACAAAACTTGTCAATAGGCAGCGTAGAAGCTTCTTGTAAATTACCAAATTACAGAACTGCCAGAAGGCAACCAGTGAGCTCCCAGTAAACTACCAATATACAGAACTATCAGTTGGTAGGAAGGGAGCTCCCAGTGAACTACCAATACACTTACGGTTAGTAGACATCAAGGGAGCTCCCAGTAAATCATCAATATACAGTTACCCTCAGTTGGTAGTGAGGGAGCTCCAAGGAAATTATCCATACACCCCTATAGTCAGCAGACAGTGGGGGAGCTCCAAGGAAACTATCCATACACCCGAACAGTCAGCAGACAGTGAGGGAACTCCAAGGAAACTATCCATACACCCCTACAGTCAGCAGACAGTGAGGGAACTCCAAGGAAATTATCCATACACCCCTAAAGTCAGCAGAGAGTGAGGGAGCTCCAAGGAAATTATCCATACACCCCTACAGTCAGCAGACAGTAAGGGAACTCCAAGGAAATTGTCCATACACCCCTACAGTCAGCAGACAGTGAGGGAACGCCAAGGAAATTATCCATACACCCCTACTGTTTTCTGTTTTCAGAAACATCTGTGTACAATATGCACTGCTGAACCATGGCATCAAAATATCAGTTTGAAATATCAACAAAAATAGATGAATATTCAACAATTCTTTCAGTAATATTATATAATATTGACTAGTTACATTTATAAGGATATCATAAAAAGGGGGCATGCAATACAAATATTCCGTCCAAATAGGATATAAGAGAGGTGCAGCTTACAGCACACAATTAGCTTAATCTGCATTGGGGCTGATCTTGTGTACAAGGTGTCATTTCGGACTTGTTTGAGGTAGCAGTATTACTTCAGACCATATGTACATAAGGACATTCTAGCTACAGTTACCTACTTTCCCAGCTAATGTCATACACTTCCTCCCACACTCCGACTTAAAAAGGTTGACAGGAATGAAAAAGTAGTAGTGAAATAGTTGGAGGTGCTGTTTATTGTTCAACCAAGAGCACAGATACCAAAGACTGTGACTTCTGGGCTCTGACCAGTCAACGTTAAAATCACTTATTTTATACTCGGTTACATGTATATAGTTTTTTTATCTATGTATTTACAATACAATTTAATAATATTGTTCAGGAGGTATAAATTATGACCAACATGTCATAGTGTTCTATACTGAACATAAAAATATACAAATAGAGAATATATAGAATGAAAAATAATAAACACTGATATTATCAATTAATCAGACAAATTAAACTGCAAAGTATACTTTATCTTATATACAAAACTGTCTCAGGATTTGCAGAACGGAATGTTAAAACTATCACAGGATAACTTCCCAGCATACAGAATACCTCTTCTTGCAGCTAGGTTGACATCACAGCTGCTTCTACCAATTCCATATGAATCAAATGGTGCATACAGTATTGGAATAACTCGTTTACTGTTTTACAAAAGTCTCTCAACTGGAATAATGACATATAGATAGGATTGTTGAAACATGGCTACTGATATATAGCTAGTGTTGAATATCTACAAGGCATATCGAGATTCAAAAATAAAAGTTTGGATTGTTCATCAGATCTGAGTTTGTCAGTTTGTATAATCTTTGTATAGACTTTGTCATGTAGTTGTAAAAAGATCACATTTTCTTCTCCATTATCAGTTATTAAGGGACTTCAGAATGAGACGTCCTTATTGACTTTCAGCATGTGACATCGTTGTTGACTTCAGAATGTGACATTCTTGTTGACTTCAGCATGTGAAGTCCTTGATGACTTTCAGCATGTGACGTTCTTGTTGACTTCAGCATGTGATGTCCTTGATGACTTTCAGCATGTGACGTCCTTTTTGACTTTCAGCATGTGACGTCCTTGTTAACTTCAGCATGTGACATCCTTGTTGACTTCAGAATGTCGTCCTTGTTGACTTCAGAATGTCGTCCTTGTTGACTTCAGAATGTGACGTCCTTGTTGACTTCAGAATGTGACATCCTTGTTGACTTTCAGCATGTGACATCCTTGTCTATTCCGCCAATGCCCATGTCCTCTGAAGCACTGTCCTTGTCTGATGCAGGCTGTAAAATACCTCCCACCTCTACAGTAGATGAGGGATCAAATTTCACAGGTATGTAGCCATCAATATTGGCTCCAACAATGAAAGGTTCACCATCTGGAGAATAAAACAGCATGTTACAAAAAAAACTTGTACAAGTAACAAACATGATCAATACTCTTTTGTGGAATTTCAAAAATGGTACCCATACACAAATCTTTAAAACCTTACAACTGAAATGCTTCAGAGACCATTTCTGTTACACATGGCCAAGAGATCATAGTAATCTATTTCTGGAATATAGGTCAAAGGTCAAACTATAGGTCACAGTAAGCTATTTCTGGTGTATGCCAATCTTCTCATGATATGCCCACAGACATATGTTTAAGGTGTTATGCAAAATTTTATTAAAAGCCTGCCTTTAAAAACATTTTTAACTTCAAGAAGGTCAAAGGACAAAATAGCATAACAATGATGTTAAGCTTTGTTATGGTACATGATAAAACATCTGCAACATAAAAATCAAGATCTATAATCTGAATTATTTTTCCGAAACATAATTGAGATTTGAAACTGGGAAACAAAAGAACCCCACATAAAAAACAAATGACAGGAAACATTCCCTTTTTCCTACGATTTGCCATACATACAAAAACACATAAATAGGAAATAAAATACACCTACCAATATGGAGTTCTACAAGAGAAAGACCAAATGCATCTTTTAAGACTTCCAATGGCAGTCGTCTGTTGTCCAACAGAAAGGTTTTCTTACTAGCCTTAGCTCCTTCACAATGGCAAACCACATGGACAACATCTGCAAATATAGGGTCAGTTGTTAATGTTGAAGATGTTTTTAATGAATACAAAATGTGAAAATGAACTTCAATTAAACCAAAGAAAAATAATGCTACAGTGATTGATGATGAGAAGATATTTAACAGGAGGCCTAGCAGCCTTGACAGTCACCTGAGATAAGCAATATTGAGCTTCCAACGGTCGTGGAAAAGGAGCTGTAACACTGATGATAGTAAGCTAGCATCATTGCATGCATACCATCAAAACTGTCATTCTATACTGATAATTCTTAAAAAGTTATTTCCGGTGAAAAATAAACCTTACGCTCAAAAATGCTATCTTTCTACAAAAATTATAGTAAAGGTAACATATTCTCCCAAGGAAGAAATGTGAGACCAATTTTGGTAATTAAATCACCCATAGACACTTTCATCCATGAAGAGCATTTGTTTCTACCATATCTGGGTATTGAGAAGAATTTTGAAATCTGAGTCAATCTCACCCCTTTGGGCACCTTGGGGTTAACCAGGATCAATATGGTCATACTGTCAAGTCATCCTTCTCTCATAATTGTAACCTAGTTTGAAACATTTCCAATGGAAATTAAACAAGTCATGCTCAAAATCTATTTTCTTATATAATTTGCAGTAAACTTTTCCCCCTTCCCATGGGGAAATGTAAGACCTATGAAATTCACAATTTTTGTAAAGCACCATCAGATCCCACCATCCATGAAGAACATTTGATTTTACCATATCTAGGTATTGACAAAAAGATTTGGAAAATTTGAGTCAATTTGACACTTTTGACCCCACCCCTCAGGCCCTAGTGGGGTTGGCACCATATAATTCACAACTTTTGTTCATCTTTTGCCAAGGAAAGTTTCTGCAAATTTTTTCAATGAAACCTGTCCACAGGTTTTTGAGAAGAATTCGAAAAATGTTAAATTGTTAACGGAAGCATGATGCTGGACAAAGATGATTGCAATAGTCACCATGAGACTTTGTCTCCTGTGACCTAAAAAGACATTGTATAATACTACTTAATCAATATTCAGGATAACATTGATTTGCTGTAAAACATGTGTTCGCTCCCCAATCTGACTTGACACAGGCTTAAATCTCCAGAAGGCGACAAATTTTGGTTATTGACTCCTTTATTCTAATCTGTGTGAAACTGTATAATGTTATCAAGTTATGTTGTGCAGTAATCCAAAATAGGAACAGGTGTTATGCTGGTGTGATGAGTGTTAAGTTTTCTCTTGACTTAAGCAGAGTGAAAAAGTGACAAAAGAGTTCTGCAGAAAGTTTGAAATACCTGGCTTTTCCAATGCTTGATATTTTGTTGGGAAAACCATTGATGTTTCTTCCACAATTCTATTGAGAGAAAGAAAAACAATCTTTAATTAGTCAAAATCAAATGTAACTGTAACACTATGTACATTAAGAATGAAAATCCATCAGAATATATCATTTCAACACAATGAATTACCCAAAATTTAATCTTGTGATTTATTGTCATCACTTAATCACTAACCTATCATATCTAGTATAATTGTTCTTATGATGGAACTCTTTAGAACTTAAATAATGATAGGATATAGCCTTAATATAAAATCCAGACTGACAAATAATCCAACATGCTGCCTGAATGTTGTATAACCTTTTTTCTGAATTATCAGTTATTTCTCTGACAATGCAGTGGTAGTGAACCTACTTTGAAAGTGAATCAACCTTTTTCTGTAACTGTACTATGTGTTCATTCTGAAAAACAAAACAAATGACATTGTTTAATATTACATCCTGTATTTCTCTAAAACAATCATGTTCTGTTTTGTAATTCAGGCATTATTGTGAAGTTTGATCTCTACACATATAACATCCACATCACAAAACTCTATCCCTTATAAGCGCAACACTAACCTCCAGTTTGTCAAATAATTGTCTAAATCCTTACCAGAAAATGCAAAAATCGCAGACAGATTTTAGTCAGAATAATAATAACAGTGCTGTCTATTAACAATCTGAAATGTGGTGTCATTCAATTCTGGTTTTGATAAGAAGAGTGTCTGATGAAAAACTGTTCATCAAATTACAAGTACATCAATTACTCTCTAATTTTATTAAAAGAAGGTATCCCTCAGACCTATGATTAAATGCTAAACAGATATTTTTGTCTCCACAATACATTCCTTACTTTACCTGTAGCTGTATCTCCCTCTCCAAATCTTCTATAGTCATGTTTGTTTTCAGTGCTGCCTCCGCTGCTGCAGTAGGCTGTTGATGAGAGGTATCACAGACGTCTGTATAGCCTGAATCTCTCTCTGTCTGACTAGCCTTCCTGGTAGCCTTGTTGGAGTGACACTCTGACGGGACATCTTTTGAGTCTTTAGATAACTCTGGAATGTTAGATATACCAATATTTTCTTCTAAATATTTATCTAACTCTGGACTTTTAAATTGTGGTTTCTGTTCTGAGAATTCTGTGGTTTCCGTCTCTAATTCACTATCACCACTGTCAGATTTGTTTAAGTCAACAATCAGTTTTTTTTTCTGAGATGTAGATTCTGGCTGAGCTGTTTCTCTCGGTGATAATTCCACTGAATCCTGAGCTGTATCCCTTGGTGATGATTTGGCTGAATCTGTATCAGAATAATCTCTTAATTCTGATACTGTTTTCTGTTTTTTAAGTAAAAGATCAACCGAGTCATTTTGAGATGTTTTCCGAGTACCAGCCTCTGAGATTCCGTTGCTAAACATGCTGAATGGTTGAAGAGACGATGGCTCTGATTGGTGGTCTGACTGAGCCAATGGTGAATCATCCTCTCCCACGGAATACTGTAGTTTTATTGTCTTTTTCTGAGGTTGATTTGCTGGAGTTGATGTATTGGAGGGCACCAGATTGTCAAGCATACTCTGATCTGTAGCTGTTGTGTCTCCCGGAATCTTCACATCAGATCTGTCTGCTCATCAGAAAAAACAGTGTGGTCATGTGAAACTGGAATACATTTAGCAATCTACCATATAAATAATCTAAAGTAGACACTAAATTATTTCTTCTGGTGAAATATTGGGTCAATATTACCAGCTTACAATGGCAGGTAGTCTCAGCAAACCGAATAAAACTGACCCAAAAAGCAATACATTTGTTACAAATGCTTTATATATGTATTAAGTTCTGTCTTTTTCAAATACATGTATCATTAAGATGTAATGCATGTAAATGTTTTCACGTCTAAAACTATTCATTGGTCCCTGTTGATCTCTAGTGATTTTTAGAAATATTCTGACTTTACTAAATGATATCAATCAAGTCTACAGATACTAACCTATGGATACTGGGAAGAAGTGCAGCCGGACATCACCACTGCTCTCTGATGATGAGGGGAACAATGCACTCGCTGTCATCCGCTTACCGACCGCCACTAGTATCCCTTGGTAACCAGCTAACTGAGAATTATGGAGGCTAGAAATCCCTCTTGGGCGTTCATCCTTGTTTAGTTTCTACAAAACATTTCAATAATAAATAAGATGTAAATGAATAAGCACAACCAAACCCTGCCTCCTAGGTGACCAAACTTTCACTCTTATATAAAATTTCTATGAAATGTCATAAAGGCAGCCCTAGGCCAGGTGATAAGGTACAAAATAGTTAAGGGAACTCATGTAGGTCAATGTTGTCAAAGCATATGTTAACTTTGTCTTCAGTATATCACTGACAAAGGGCCATTCATAAATTACAACAAGGGACACCAAAAGGTCTTATTGATATATCACAGGAAAAGGATAAATAAGCATTTTTTTACCATAAAACCTGGAGTCATCTTATTAATGATGGCATATCTATTAAAGTCCTTTCATAGTTTGTATTTTATAAAACTGTTTTTTCTTTTCTGTGTATGCCTTTATACATGAATCACTGTTACTGATGAATGACTCACAATCTCCTGGACCTTGACCAGAGTCTGGCTGTTGTCCACAACAGCATACACCTGTAGCAGATTCTGGTTGTTACTGCCCACCACTACAAACTGCTGATTCTCCTGTTACAGACAAACAAACCATGTAACACCAGTAGATCATGATGCACATAATCCATCACCACCACAAAGGAAACCATGGCAGGGTTTTTTCCATGACAACAAGGTTTTTTTTTAGGTCAAAGGTCAAATAATGGTACCAATTTTTCCTATTTGGTATGAGACATAAAGGATTTGTCTGAAGTCTATACATGAAATAGTGGCCCTGATAGCCTTACGTATGTTTTCAGCACATTGTCAATGTTTGGTTAATTAGTGTGATGAACTACCATATGATTGCTGAATAAATAACACAGTTTTAAAGAACATGCTATCAGCTAAGTATAATTTCAAAGAAAAAAGCACCGAGATAAGGTAACGTCGGTACTCTATGTATTTACAGTATACTGAAACTTGTATTATTTTCTATTTAGTATCATTTATTATTGATAAACAACAGAACAGATAGTACACAATGTTGATATGACCCTCACCTCATACAGCAGTATGTCTGAGGTCAGCCTCCCTATAACACCTTCACTCCTTTTGTGTATATAAAACAAAATGTACACAATGTTGATATGACCCTCACCTCATACAGCAGTATGTCTGAGGTCAGCATCCCTATAACACCCTCACTCCATTTATGTATATACAACAAACTGTACACAATGTTGATATGACCCTCACCTCATACAGCAGTATGTCTGAGGTCAGCATCCCTATAACACCCTCACTCCATTTATGTGTATACAACAAACTGTACACAATGTTGATATGACCCTCACCTCATACAGCAGTATGTCTGGGGTCAGCACCCCTTTGACTCCCACACTGCAGCTCCTTAGAGGCTCCCTATCTGGCCTCAGCTGTACCAGGATTAGCCGACTGGTGTCTTCGATAAGACTCTAAAATCAAGTGTAGTGAATAATTACACGAGTAGATAAGACAATTATGGTACATCTAGGTAGTTTTATGTAACATTTACCTCATTATTGTCACACCTACTCGTTGAATCTGCTATCATCAATGATAGGTAGCTGTTTTATAAATTTCCATTTAAACAAGTTTTTTAGAGAGAAACAAATGAGTACTGTAATTTGCTTATACTTGGTTCTGTGAGGTAATCTACCTTTACATGTATTTGGTTGAGTTCACCTTCTATACTTGACCTGGGGGCTATTGTTTTCGATAATCAGCCAGAAGGTAAAGACACATTTTTCTAAAGGTATAGATTTGAATACATCTGGCTGTACATCACATACTGACGAACATTTCAGATAATGTTTGTATATAATATGATATATTTGTGTAGTGACTTACAACAATACAAATTGAACATTTTGTTCAGCACAGCACGGAAAAGACTTGAATTTGAAATCAAATTTAGATGGTTACTTGAGATAAACACATATGTACAATAATGTTACATACCCCTGGGTTTCTTGGTAAGTTGAGTAATGTATCTTTCAATGATGTTAGAGATGCCCCTTTAGGGGAGATAATGTCAGACGATGGTGACAAATCAGGCTCATTTTGGTTCAAGTCTGAAAACATATAATTTCAATATAAGCTGATGTTAATGGTGTATAACGTTAACATAATGGTAATAATAAAACAACACAATTTAGGAATTATTGCTTGTAATAAAATACAAGAATCTAATCTAAATCTTAATGGATATATTACGGAAGAAAACATCTTATTCGTGTGTCGAATATCAATGCTGTCTAACAAAGTCTCTTTTATTACAATAATATAACAGAAGCCACTTTCTAGTCTGGATCAAGATAGAAAGCCACCTTTAACGGATGTTGTAAATCAACAAATAAATTAAATGGAGGACATCTTAGAATCATATATCTAACTTAATCATACCACTTGACTCTTAACATACATCAGACCAGTTAAGTATCAAGAAAACAAACAGAAAACAAACTAAGCCTACATAGTTACCTGGTGCGATGAATGTATCCTTAACCTTACACAGAGATTCTAGAGGCAGCTCGACAGCACACACCACTGCTGGGCCTGGCAGGGAAACAATAGAACACACTCCTCCATCCAATCTACGCACAAATCAGTATTTGTCATTAAAGAAGTGACAAAACAAATTTTCGAGCTGCTTTTGATAACACCATGGTATACAATGAACACCAAACTTAATTAACTAAGGGAAATAACTCTTACCAGTCTGAAGAAAATTTGCTATGAAAACATATTATTCCTGTGCTGAAAACTTTACTACATCTGTATAAGTATGACAAAAAGCATTATCATGTAGTTTGATGAAACCTGAACAGTAGAATCTGGAAGGATGACAGATAAACAAACGGATGAGGCTATTCTTCTGTGTAACGACATTCTGATTTGGTACCTCATCTAGTGCACTGTGTAAACTTACTGAGGAATCCTCCAAGCTGTGGGGTTTAGGTCACTAATGGACACATCAATTTCTGGCCAGGTATAAACCTGAAATGGTCAATAATGATCTTATACAAAATTCTCAAAACACCATGAAAGTTAGAACCAGTCATATATACATATGTCTCCAATTGGACAGTGTTTTCTATCTTGCCCATTGACTTTACTTATAAATAGTAACAAACCTTATTGATTGCTGTTTACCAGAATTAACCAAAATAATTTAATTATCCTGTAATAAGCCCATCCTATCAGTTTCAGTGGAAGTTTAAGTCCCTGTGCTTTGACTTTGCCCTTTGTACTCACCAGTAACATTGCTCCAACACTAAGCACCAACTGACTGCCATCCTTAGACCAAGCTCCACACCTGATCTTACCACTAGGTAGAGAAACAACAAAAAACCATCACCAGAATACACCAGGAAATAGTTTTAACAATAAGGACATTAATGCTTTTACAAGGTCTTAATTAACTTCATATTTTGTTGTATGTGATAATTGCTTTACTTAATTTCCAATCATGTGTAATGGGTACATGTATATTAAATGTCCTTACCTCTCTATGGGAGGAGTGTTCAGTGCTATCATTTACAATGAGAGGGAAAGCATAGCTGTCCATTTCAAATAATGCAAAAGCCTATCTAAAGGAGAGAAGGCAGAGATTTCCCTAACAGTGAGTGGTATAACTTAACTTCTTCTCTATGGGAAGAAATGCATAACTGCCTCTCTTCTGATTGAAGATATGAACAAAATGTATATGGAATGGAAGGCACAGCTGCCCTTATCATACCCGGTATAATTTACCTACCTCTCTATGGGAGGGAATGCATAGCTGCCCCTGTTCTGTGTATGTCTGAAGAAGAAACTGCACTGTTGTTTACTAAGGACACACAAAATGTCTCTGCCTGGGTTCCACAGACAACCTGGAAATAGTAAAGAAGAACTTAAATCCAAAGCTACTCTCATAAAATTACCTAGACATCACCAAAAAGTAGGGCAGTAAAATTTTATAAAGAATTAGGGTCGATGTTCCAATTTTCACAAACATTTGTCAAGTATCCTAAGCAATACCTATGAGAATAAGTACTGTCAAGGTCATTATTTTGGACATGTTCATTATTTTGTTATTTTAAAAATATAGGTTCTTTAAAATAAATAAAATAAAGAGAACCAACTTTCTGCATTAAGCTTTTAATAAAATGAACCACAGAAAACCTTCACAGGTAACAACTGATAAATACCAAAGTGGCATCATGACTACATTCTATCATCTAAAGCTACTGAAATGAAACAAGAAGAATTGTCACTTTGAAAAGCCATTAAGAAAACTCCATATCATGATGACAAACCTACCAACCGCATAACAAAAACACTGACTGAAAAACTGAGTGAGGAGATTTGGTTTGAGGTTTCACTTTTTCCAAGCAGCAATAGTTACTTGAGGATTGGTGTCTACGGAGAAAGACTGGGAATAGCAAATATCCCATGTAGCATCAGATGAGTTTAGGTTTCTTCCTTTGTAAAGAACACTAAATTTTCAATGCTGCAGGATGTCCATTTAGTCAACTCCTAACATGCGGTGAGATATGCCTGGTCTGATTGTTTGGTTACTGTCTACTAAAACACTGGGAATCCATCCAATGATAGAGAGTTTCAAAAGAGAGTATTCAAGAATTGAAAAAGTGATCTCAGAGGTTTTATCTTTACAACAGATGAACTCGTACAGACTTGATAACATCCAGTCAGAATTTTTAATGGGCATATAAAACCAACACACAGGTAATAGATGGATATCTTGATATTTATAACAGTGGTATAGCTAATGAGTCCCATACATAATTACTGAAAATTACTCCATTCTTTTATCAAAGCCTGACCCTATTCCTTATTTGTGGCAAATGAAAACTTAAATTAAACTTAATAAAACTAGATTTTCAAAAGAGGCCATTAAAACTATGACTACTATGTTTATCTGTTTAGTGAAAGTGATTGTCAGTAGACCTTTTTATCCTGGTTGCAAACACAAAAATATTTATTTGACTTTAACAAGCTAACCAGTGAATGATCTTACATAATTGCCCGTAACAAATATTAACATCATTTTGAGTTGAGTTTACTTGGATGTTTGTATATAAATACATACATAGATATATTCCTTGAGTGATTTGCATAGACAGGTAGATGTAAGTGTCTGTTACCTGTAAGGTACATCAACATTAAGATAACTGGTACACATTAACTTATCATTCCTGTATGCACCTTTGACCACCTTTTAACAATAACAGATTAATATTATGTAATTTCTATATCAAACCATCTGTCTTCATACAAATCACTGTAACAAGAGTAGGACAGTGTACTAGATCATAGTACAGACAGGTAATAACAGATCACTGTACACTTACTGATGAGGATTAAGGATGACCAATGATTAGATAGACCAAATGATGAGGATTAAGGATGACCAATGATTAGCTAGACCAAATGATGAGGATTAAGGATGACCAATGATTAGATAGACCAAATGATGAGGATTAAGGATGAGGATTAAGGATGACCAATGATTAGATAGACCAAATGATGAGGATTAAGGATGACCAATGATTAGATAGAACAAATGATGAGGATTAAGGATGACCAATGATTAGATAGACCAAATGATGAGGATTAAGGATGACCAATGATTAGATAGACCAAATGATGAGGATTAAGGATGACCAATGATTAGATAGACCAAATGATGAGGATTAAGGATGACCAATGATTAGATAGACCAAATGATGAGGATTAAGGATGACCAATGATTAGATAGACCAAATGATGAGGATTAAGGATGACCAATGATTAGTTAGACCAAATGATGAGGATTAAGGATGACCAATGATTAGTTAGACCAAATGATGAGGATTAAGGATGACCAATGATTAGTTAGACCAAATGATGAGGATTAAGGATGACCAATGATTAGATAGACCAAATGATGAGGATTAATGATGACCAATGATTAGTTAGACCAAATGATGAGGATTAAGGATGACCAATGATTAGTTAGACCAAATGATGAGGATTAATGATGACCAATGATTAGATAGACCAAATGATGAGGATTAAGGATGACCAATGATTAGATAGACCAAATGATGAGGATTAAGGATGACCAATGATTAGATAGACCAAATGATGAGGATTAAGGATGACCAATGATTAGATAGACCAAATGATGAGGATTAAGGATGACCAATGATTAGTTAGACCAAAATGATCAAACAGACTATACACCCAAAGGAAAATCACGTTTTATCAATAAAATACTCTTCACTTTTACCACTAAATTTTTGTATTTATTCTAACATGTCTTTTGTTTCGTATTTAAACAACTCAACCATGATGTTTGGTAATTTTGCAGAAAGTCAGGTAAAGTATACATTTATATAAATGTGTGTGTATAGATTACATCACAGTTTAGATTATATAGGTTGCAAGGTTCATTTCTAGACTTCTATCAACTGTCAGGATGATGGAGGTAAAAGTTCATAATGTTAAATCACTCCAATTGTCCATTTTCTAAAAATAAATTACTAATAAAGTGACTACGAGTACGTTAAGACTTGACAATCAGAGCATCTGATATAAGACTATTTTGTATCTAGAAGACCTGTGAAGTGACAGACTAATCCATCATGACGGGTAGATGAGCCTCTTTTTCTTTGTCTGACCACAGAGAGCAGGTTAAACAGGGGAGTTTGATGGGTGACTGAGCACACAAACAGGAGGTGTGAACCTGGCAGATTATCATATATACTTGGCAAAAACCCAGGGAGGAAACAGCTTAATGCTGACACAATGAAGATATGTGAGAACATTTCTAGATATTTCTTCTGAAACTACAAAAGTCCAGGTGGGCTTATTAACAGACACAGGCTTATTGTCTCTTAATCTTTTACAATATATGATCTACAACATGAAGTAAAATGAATGACAATCACCCCTAAATTTCCCCTTCCCCCTCCCCCACCACATCGCTCCAGATTTGTTTTCCATTTTATACTCCTACCCCATCCAAATTTCTCTTTCCTCTGGCGCTCCTTCTGAATTCCATCTTTATTCTCTTTTGAGCTCCTATTCCTTCCTGAATTCTTTATCCCATTTGAGCTCAATCATGTCTGATTCAGGAAAGCAGGTGCTGTTCACGCAGCTTTGGGATTTATTATTGTCATGCATGACTTAAATGGGATATATTAACCTATGATATTGCATGCTCACAGGTGGTCCTGATAAACATTGTGAACCTCATATAATATTCATCAGGAAACATTAACTATGCAGCTTATACTTTCTAATCCACTTGAGGTACATGTATCATTTCCAAGCTTTGTCATATATTCATTAAGTAATCGATAGAAGAGTTCATATCAGTGCTACAAGTCAAATATCTACAGAGAAATAGGTAATTTATTTTGTTCATATTAAATCCTACCAAGTTCTGTAATAAAATCTACTATGGAAAGCTGACACAATCCACAGCTTGTGTTTTGTGCACACAAAAAAACCTCCATCACAGCTTGTGAAATTTAATACAATTCAAATTCAAATGTACATTACAGGTGTGCTGTGGAACTTTACTTTTTTATTTTAAACATTTCCATACTATATTTCTTTTACCCAGTAATACTTCGTGGAGTCTAGTCTGTATATTTATCAAGGAGAGACTGCCTTGACTTAGGCTATGTCTCTTTGCCTCTGAGCATTTATACTCGACCTTTGCCTTGACTTCGGCTATGTCTATTTGCCTCTGAGCATTTATACTCGACCTTTGCCTTGACTTAGGCTATGTCTCTTTGCCTCTGAGCATTTATACTTGACCTTTGCCTTGACTTAGGCTATGTTTCTTTGCTTCTGAGCATTTATACTTGACCTTAACTAGTACAGAACAATGTTTCAAGATTTTGTCATTTTTTTTGTCTAGTTTTTGTATAAAAAACACAGTAGCAAAAGGGAACACACCAACCTTGACCTATTAATAGGGTATAAATTTAATTAAAAACAAATTATAAGCTCATCTTTATCTTGAAGAGCCTATTTTTTTTCTCAGTCAATCATTTAAAATCATTATTAAAAGAGCCCCTGAAAAATTGTGTTCAGCAATTTAGTTAAATCATTTTATTCCGTTTATTACCAGAAATATTTTAATATAGCAATGTACTAGAAATTAGTTACCTAAATATCAACAACAAATGATCACAATTTATCGAAGCCTGTCAAACATGTTTTCCATAATCAAAATCACCTATCCAATGAGGAATGGAGGTAATATGCATCAGTTGCTAGTTCTTACATATACAGGCAAAGGTCAAATACAATGTGAGACAATCAAATTATTTCAATTTGAATTCAAACTTAATTTAAAATCAAAACATCTCAAATTTCATTGTATTATTTCAATATATAGAATCATAAGATTTTTTAGATAATTAAATCATACTGACATAGGATAACATTGACATATTTATGTCCCTTCTAACTGACAGCCTGACCATTAAAGACCAATAAAACATGAGCTGATGACACCTGTAATACTAATTATCATTAACACCTGTCAACATTTTAAAATGTCTCCTTGATGATTGAAAGATATTCTGTAAACGTACACCTTTTTCTGCAGTAATCTTACTTCAATGTTTTTACACTGAAAGTATTGCACTAAAATAAGATGGTGCTAATTGTGCTTTCTTAATGTTGCTTATAAAGTAATTATAATAAGCGCTAAATAGACAAAAACAATGATGCACTAAACTGTAATTACAGCAAATTAAGAATCTTTACAGAAAATTTTCTAAAGATTTACAGCAATAATTTTAACTTGTAGACAAATGAAATTTTAGTAAAGCAACTTTTTTTAAGTATTCACAAGCACCAACCTTTCACTTTGATAAAAACAGAACTTCCAACCATGAAGGACGGTTAGCCCTTTATATATAAAAACCATCATAAACAAGAACGGTACTTTAAAAGGACAGTCAAGAAGACCTAGTGTAGGGATTTACCTTGCTGTATAGGTTGAACATTGAGTTTTCGAACTTGCTTGAAACTGAGTTTAGGGACATGACCTTCAACCTTCCAGACGGAAACATGTTGGGGATGGACAACACACAGGTAACACAAGTTTGGACCCACATCACTGCTCCAGTGAATACTCTTCACCAATTGGCTGAAACAGTTGTAAATAATAAACATGACAACAAAACGTGGCTACTGAGTAGTGTTTCCGTGTATTTATCACCATAGGACTAAAAACAAACTCAAATATGTTTAATATTTATACATATATTATAATTATTCACAATATATACCAGCTTAACAACTTAATTACTTAATTGAAAAAAAAATCTTAATGTACACCTGTTCTAAGAATCTTGATTTATACTGCAAATGTGGTTATTCCCAAGGGAGGGGGATAATTTTGCAATATCAATAGGCAAACTGTATACCCAACTTTTTTCCAATAATCAATGTGTCTTCACATGTAATATGTAATGCAATGTGTCACATTAGTTATTTATCATTCAGTGCAAATTTCCCTCACCCTTACTGCAACAGTATCTAATACTTACCATAACGTTTTTTATTATGATTAAAGACAACACTTATGTTCAGTGTAATTCCTTACATTTTTCTTAGCTTGAGGATTGCTTTCATTAAGAATATCGGAGCGGGGTACTGTAAATACCTTATAGCATCACCAAAAAGCAATACTAAGACAATTTCTTCAGAAGATATCAATACCAGCTATAAATACACAAAGCAAAACCCAGGCATTCTTATCACTGAGGTTTACTGCTGATAAGGATTATCATCATCATTCTATATACAAACAATTACAAGAGATAGTATAGAGATGTCAGGGTGGACACCAGTATAGACACATCTTAGCTGAGGTGTCAGCCATTTCACACTGTCAGGATGTTCCATTATCTTTAGTTCACCAACAAAATGTCCAGCTGCTCTAGTCCGACACAGTAAAAGTGTACATTGAACAGAATTTGTAAAGACATGTGCATAGCAATTCTTGTTATTTAAACATGACCATCACATGTCCAGGCTTTTTCTCTGCTAGATTTGAGGGAGAATAACGGCTGCATTCTTAATGAAAAAGTCCTTATTTTTTCCCAATCAAAGGACTAAAATCCCAAAATTATCGAGAGTTTAAGAATTAAAAAAAAGAAAACTGAATATTACCATCAGACGTACAACTTATTTAATGTCAGCTCTGGGTTCAGATGATTGGGTTTTTACTTAAACAATACACCATCTAAATTAGAGAGATATAAACCTATTAGTAACGATTAAATTAAAATCAATATCTCTGAGATTTGTTATTTTTCCAAATTTAAGTTTTTAATGCACTAGCAATTGTTTCCCAAATTCAAACCAGGATCCCTATTATCAAGGTAATGAATGTAGCATTGCAGGTATAAAGTCTAGAATTTGTAGATTATCTAGGCAAGCCAGGGTCACTGTATTTCATGCCCATTCAAAGCACCTTTTAACTATAAACAGAACCCTGGTCACCTAGCCCCAGCATCAGTGACAATGGATGATCAAGGAATGAGGATGTCTATCAGTAATGTTCACATAATTCAGAGTTCTGTACATGATACCTGATCTGTTTTACTATAGCTGTTTGTTTACTTAAACAAAAAGTGACTTGCCTGGTATTTAAAATACATAAAACATACACACAGAACTTAACATTTGAAATTTGAAATGTTGAAAGATATGATCTGAAAATTAAATCTCAAATAGTGACAGTTGGTACAGCAGGATTTTACAAACTCTATAAACATTCATACATTTAACATATATACACACTGTCAATAATATCACTTCTGTTCTATAAAATTTTTAATTGTATGTTTAGATTTACTTTCTAGGATAAGTTACATAAACATATATATGTACAAACTTCATTGTGACAAAAAAATTCTCTGTGGCCCTAGTCTGGACAGGAAGAAAAAGGGAGATAGGTGACAGGAAATGGTATGGAGAAGGATGTAAGTATGGAGAGAAGAACACAGGAAGCCATCACATATAATATCATGATGTAGCGACAGCTGGTGATGGTAAGATATATACTGGTACATGTATTGCCAGTCTGACAGATGACTTCCGTACTCACATAAAACCACAAGTACATCCTATATACGTACACAGTACCATGCATGCACATACACCAAATAAATGTTTTAGGAGTTTCATGTCAAAATCGAAATAAGATCTCAAAAAATTTTATTTGTCTATGTACATGTCAGAAATAGAGCTGAAAAGTTAAATTGAGTTTAGCACTGTTTACATATGCCCATTGGCATGCCTAAATCTAAAGTGAATTCTCCATAGACAGCAAGACCTCTATAGTCAATGAGATTCATGCTAAAAGGTTTCATAATTCAAATTTTCAGATTTATGGCTCCATGTCATTAAGAAATATGATAAGCAGTACAGGTATGATGTTAAACATAGATAAGAGAATAACTGTTCCAGACAGAGGTATTCTGAAAATTTCTTACTCATCCTCATCAATGTCTACTGTTTCATTTTCTAAAAATTCATCTTCATCACTGTAGTAAAATGGAAGGAAGCAAAAGTATTAGAACGCATTACAGACATAATAATATTTATATAACAATTATAATGTACATTGTATCATCTAACTAGAATCTTAACAGGTTACCTTTATCTCATTCAGATGCTCCAATTCAAATTTTTCACAAATTCTGATCTTTATTGTCAAATGAAATAAGACCAAACAATATTAATAAGATACAATTCTGGTTCTCAATAATGTGTTCTGTCTAGAGACCAGCAGTATTAACTCCAGTTGTGAGATACAAGTGTATTATAATTATATATTACATGAATAACTAAAGTATCGTCCGTAGTCATGATGATGTATACAAACATTAAAATTGGATTCATGAACAAGCACAGGAAGCAAATTCTTAACTACTTTAAATCATGGTATAATGGTTGTTCTTTTTTCTGTTTTTTTTTTTTTTTTGCTCTCTTTGTCTCTTTACAGATAGCTGATGTTCAATAGAGTATTTCAATGAAATTTACAGGTGATAAAGCACCTGTCCAGTGATCCATTGTCAGCTGGTAACCCCCTACTGGTGATAATTAAGCCACTGACCCAATAATAGGACACCCTCTACTAAGTTTTCCTTCACCAAGTAGACCTGTAATCTATATTGTTACTCAACATAACTAAACTGCTTGTCTGTCAGATATGTGTATTTTGTTTAACCTTCTTACCAAGAAAATAAGCATCTGTTTTTCCCTCTTGTAACTTTACTGACCTTAACCTGAGTATGAACTTTTAAACATGGATAACCACATTTCCTACATAAAGTTAACATTTCCGTAAACACTTTCATTTTCATAATATTTTACCCCACAGTGAGACTAGTATTTGTACAAACGTCAGAAGACAGTACATTCTACATGATAAATACATACCAATTAAATTCATCAGACGAAACACCAAATTCACATATACACAGGTATAATAAAATGGATTTATAACAGTATTCTGAATTCATGACTTTAACATTTCTAGAAACATTATCTGAACTACTTTCCCTGGCGATGGTGACATAGTTCTGGCTAGTTAAAGGTTTTCTTCATTACTATACATCCATATGACAACTACATTCCAATGTTGATAATAAATTTACTACAAAAGTCCTGGTGGAATCCAGAAAGAATCAATGATTGAATTTTGACTTCATCATAAAGATGATTTGCTATCTTATAATTCAACAGTCATCTTTCGACTTAAGAAGTTGTTAGGGAACATGTTGTTTAGATGTAATGAACATTTTGTGAAGAACCAAAATTCAATTTCACAGTTAAATTAGTACTTTTTGTGTATTGAAGTATAACAAAATAGAAAAAAAAATAAAGAAAAAAAAGAAAAAAAGATTTTTTAATCCCATGAATCCAGTTAGGAAGGATATTTGAAATAAATTTTATGTACATTTATTTGATATTTTTTCACATATATACAAAAAGAAGAACAAATATTAATAACAATAACTATAAACAATAGAGAAAAAACGGTATTATCACAAAAGTATATTACTCCATACCTACCCAAACTCTCCAAGCTTTAGTGACTCGCATGGCTCCACTTCTCCACTGAGAATCTTTACTGGGGCAAGAAAGATGGCCTTCCCATCAGTCCACACTAAACCATGTGACTTGTGCACCGCTATAACAGACAGAATGGATTTAATCATGAAGAGGTTCATGATGGAACAAATTCAACAGGCAAATGATCTCAAGGCAAATTATGAATATGCAGCATCTAGAGGTATCAAGTGTGACTGTATTCAATTGCAAGGATCTAGAGGCCAGAGACCTCTTGCCCAGATGTGACTTCAGGTATCAAGAGGCCAGTGAACTCTCGCCCAGGTGTGACTACAGGTATCTAGAGGCCAGTGACCTCTCGCCCAGGTGTGACTATAGGTATCTAGAGGCCAGTGAACTCTCGCCCAGGTGTGACTTCAGGTATCTAGAGGCCGGTGACCTCTCGCCCAGGTGTGACTACATGTATCTAGAGGCCAGTGACTTCTCGCCCAGGTGTGACTACAGGTATCTAGAGGTCAGTGACCTCTCGCCCAGGTGTGACTACAGGTATCTATAGACCAGTGACTTTACACAAGGTGTGACTACAAGTATCATTCTTACATAGATCTCCAAAAGTGACCTCTATCAAGTGTTACTACAAATGTCTAGAGACCAGGGACCTCCAGCAGTAACCCTCAGTGTGAATACAAGTATCTAGAGACCATTGACCTCTACCCTCAGTGTGACTACAAGTATCTAGAGACCAATGACCTCTACCCTCAGTGTGAATACAAGTATCTAGAGACCATTGACCTCTACCCTCAGTGTGACTACAAGTATCTAGAGACCAATGCAGACCAGTGACTTTTACCCTCAGTGTGACTACAAGTATCTAGAGACGAGGGACCTCCAGCAGTAACCCGCAGTGTGACTACAAGTATCTAGAGACCAGTGACTTTTACCCTCAGTGTGACTACAAGTATCTAGAGACGAGGGACCTCCAGCAGTAACCCTCAGTGTGACTACAAGTATCTAGAGACCAGTGACTTTTACCCTCAGTGTGACTACAAGTATCTAGAGACGAGGGACCTCCAGCAGTAACCCGCAGTGTGACTACAAGTATCTAGAGACCAGTGACTTCTACCCTCAGTGTGACTACAAGTATCTAGAGACCAGTGACCTCTACCCTCAGTGTGACTACAAGTATCTAGAGACCAGTGACTTTTACCCTCAGTGTGACTACAAGTATCTAGAGACGAGGGACCTCCAGCAGTAACCCGCAGTGTGACAATATCTTTTTGACAGACCAATGATCCAAAGTGTCACCATGAACAATGTTCTATAAGTCTTCCTCAGTGTAACTTTACACAAAATAACTCAACATACTTGTTACTACATACAAAAACAATTTGCATAAAGATTGTACGAACATACATATAAAAAGGTCATGTACTATCCCTTACTATTGATAATTTATACATACACCCACCATACCCTCTGGATGTAAGGACGGGTCAGATCACAATCTGAACTCTACAAGCTATATGGTCTTGAAGACAATTGTATGTCTCTATGAGTTGTATTGTATTACATCAGCACTTTGTCTATAGTTTGTCAACAAATTCTCTAACAACATTCATGTAGAACTTGGGAACTTAATGTTATCACAAGAAGCAGAAACACATATAGTAATTAACATGCATGTACAACTTATACCTCTGTTTTTATCATATGAATTGATTTCAGCAAAAATTTACAAATTATGAAAACTTTCTTCCTAAACTGGATGTGACTGACCTGTATGTTATCTGAAGAACAAATCTTTGTACCTAATGGGATTTATATCACTTCCTAGTAATTAAATGCCCACGATCTTGAATGATGTACAATCGCCAATATCTAGCATGACAGAACTTGAACAAATTTCAATTTCTGCACCTGACCTGTCTATTAAACCTTATGAAATTCTATGTTTACTAAAATCACTTCTGGTTTTATTGATGGTGACCTGACATTTCATCCATGTTTTCATCTTGTACATCATGTAGGACTCTAAACATTCAACAACATGGGAAATCATTTAATATTTAGAGTTAAAACAACAATTACATTTGGACTTGTGATTCTCCTGGTGTCAAATACTCTTGCTCTTGAGTATTCAAAGAACCAGAAAACTAGAAGTAAGTAACATAATTAAGTATTATGTTTTATATTAAATTTTTGATCTGTTTTTTCATTCATCTTCCATAAAACCACTTTTTAAAATTTCTGTTGCTTTTGAAAATTTCATGTACCATGTATGTTATATTAGATAAATGAACAGTGTATTTGATAATTTTTGTGTGAAGTACTTTCTGAAAGGAAGAATTTAACTTCACATAAAAAGGTAGCATGTATCCTTTACACAACTTAAGAAAGCATTGTTTTTGTAAGATTCTCTAGTTCAGTTTGTAGATATTAACTGTATGCAGGCAGAGCATCATGGGATAGTGATAAAACTTGAGTCCTACATTTCATAAATGTACTTGATACCACATATGAAACTATACACATGGACAAGAGGTCCCATGCAAACATAAAATGTTGAAAATATCATTTCAACTGTAAGATAAAATTGATGACCTGGACAGGAGTCAGTATCATTAACTCACAAATTATATTACATGCATCATTTATCATCATCCAACCAATTCCGTTTTACAGAGAAATTTTGAAAATATAAATTATAAATGATAATTTTTTTTACAACATAATCATGTACCCAGGTACTTTATCAGTTTTACCTGTGAAAAAGACTTACTAAATATCAATTCCTTAATTCCTAAAAATGGTATTATCCATAGCTAATGATGCATATTGCACTTAAATTTTTAAAAACCTTTCATACAAAATTTTAGAGTTTTTTTTTCTTTTGATATGCTAGAAAAAATCCTTAAGAAGACACATGGGAAACCCTTTTCAAAACACCAAAGCTCAGCTCCCAACAAAAAAATACCACTGGGCTAATACTTCTGTACACCACAGTACTAAGATTCTTAAAATAATTCTGACATCACAGCATACAAGTTTAGTGACAGCAGTATCACCTTTCACCTTAGATAGACATCTACACTGGGATAAACTCCCTCAGTACAAACATTACACATAATTCCATACTTAATGACATTCCTGAAATACCTCCGGAGAAGATTAGGTCAACGAAAGCCGACATTTCCATCCAACATGTTGTCCAGCATTACAATGTAGCTACCTGTTTCTTTGCAACCTGTATCAATCCAGGTGTGAATGTTACCTGGAGTTTGTCGGAAGAGTGTACAGCTGCTCTATTAACAAAACTCTCACATGACCATTCGTTATATATCTATCTCTAAAAGCACTAGACACATTACAGAATGCAGATGTTGATGGTGAGAAATCATGTGGTGTTGATATGGTGATAGAAATGAATTCCTAACATACATTGTGTAGTTATAAAGGCAAGGTTTTGTGGCCATCCATTACTGCTTTATGATGTAAGTTGTCACTTACAAACCGTTTACCTTGAACATTATGTACACATTTATGGAGCTAAAATTAATTAATTTGTAACAAAATTTCACTTCAAGTAAAAAAGAAGGTACAAGTCACTATAATAAATGTATATAGAATCTCATCCAAGTTTCAAATTTTGTATGTAATGGAGGCAAAGCGTATAAGAATTTTTCATTTTACCTAACCTTAAATCATGTACGAAATGGAAAGAAACATCACATTCTTTTAATTGCCTGATTTTTTTCTCCTAAATATTGCAGAAAACATGTAATTGAACATTACATTTGAAGTCCTCAACGCATTTTATTTATGGTCTCTGTTATGACATCACAAACAGCTATAGACTATATATCACAACAGGTCACTATACAAAACACATTACCAGTACACGTGTACCGATATATCCACTGAATATATAACAACCTGTGCTAAACTTTATAACAGATGTGTCAAACAATATCTTTTTCTTGAATACCAGCAAAACACTTTCCAATTACATTTTGCAATGCTTTAAATTTCATTGATATATCATATCTAAATTAGATATCAATATAGAATTAATTGACGATATATAAATACATGTATATTAATTTGAGGTTAGTGATACATGTAACCATAGTTTTTGTGATTAGGAACTGCTGTGAAATAACTATGATTTTAGACATATCATTGCTGCGACTTGGTAAACAGGCAGAAGTGAAGCAAATATAGAACTAGTGGTTATTGATGTCTAATGTGTGTCTAATTTTGACTGGAAAAGTTTGCACTGAAATGAATATTCCCTCAATAATATAGCATTAATCATTACATGAATTTCTGGTTTCAACTGTACTGCTTTACAGTGAATTGATTGAAGCCCTCTTTCAGTGTGAGATTATTTAAAGAAGGAATATTATTATATTTCTCAATTCAGACACATAAAATATTTCAATTTAACATTATGCTATATGCCCCAAAAAACTTTGGCGAACAAGAAATAAATTGTCTGCAATCGCAATGATTTTAATTGTATGGAGGGCAAAAAATGCATTAAAAAAACAAACGAGTTAAAAAAACACAAAGATGTGACATAGACATACACCTTGCATACCAAAATATATATTTACATTGTTTTGCATTTCATTGTCAGTGTTACTGACAAATGGTTGCATATTTAAGGTGTTTTTTGCAGGAAAACCTTCAAGTCAAATGATTTACGTCTGTATGATACTGAAAAAGAGAACTCAAAGGTGAGAGCACTTAATCAGACAAAGTAATCTTTCACCTGGGGCAGGTAGCAACGGCTGACGTAATGTTTCTATAACCTACCTATACCAGTCAAAAGTGTCATCATTCTTACATAAAATGCTAAAAACTCTTTTTCTAAATCTGATCAGTTTGTGTTATCAAAGTTCATAAGGAGTCAGCATATACTTCTGATACTCTACTATAGCTATACTGATTAACCTTATCTTACTAAAATGTACTGCATATTTTGGAACATTTACTCCAGGTTGGTAATGTCAATAGAATAGAAGTTCTTATAACAAAACCAGTAGGAGATTAGAGTGTGATGTTTCGACCAGTGTGGAGCCCACTAGCACTGACGTACATAGTGTATGAGATGGTAAG